GGAGCGCCGCCACGCTCCCAAGCAGTGCACTGTAGCAGTGCGCCACTGGGCCGGCCCAAGACCTGCATTCTTAACAGATTCACCCCATCAGTCCTTGTTGAGGGTTTCAATGAGCCAGGTCTTGTATGAAGAGCCAGAAGACCTGCATTCTTAAGAGATTCACCCCATCAGTCCTTGTTGAGGGTTTCAATGAGCCAGGTCTTGTATGAAGAGCCAGAAAGTCTGTAATAAAGGCCTGGACAGGTAGGAAGCACTCTCCCACCCCAGTGATGCTTATAAAAAGCATGCTCAGGAAGATGCGTAGACTATATCACACACACAGACACACACACACACACACACAGAGCAATGAGGCTGTGTTCAACATCTACATGAAAACCCTGAACACACCTGGCCCCCTCCTCAGTAGTGAGGCCACTGAGCTCAGCCCTGAGCTTTCCCTGTGCACTCTCATCTAATTTTTATTATGACTCTAGGAGGTAGGTAACATTCCAATCCCAAATTTGCAGAGGAAGAAACCGAGGCACAGAATGACAAATACATAATAATAATTAGATAATTAGTAGCTCTGGTTAATAATTTGAACCCAGGCAATTTGGCTTCTGCTCTGCCACTGTGCTGCTGCTACTGCTACTGCTAAAGAAGTCTGTGGTGTTGCTCTTAAAGTCTGCTCTTTCTGTAGTGCCCAAGTCTCCAGCAGGGATAGAGAGAGGGAGGGTGTCCCAGGACTCCTAGGCTTGTGCCTGCATTTGTCTCATTTGATGATGTCTGGCCACACACCTCAGAGCTGTGCCTTTGTTTATCCTCTGGATGGGTGTGTGTCATTTGGCATGCCCTCGGCTGGATGCCCCATCAGTCCCCTCAGCCTCTCTTTCTCTCTCGTCCTCCAGGGGACAGATTCTTTCCATCCAATGTGTCTGATGTGCAACCAAAGAACCTGCACGTTTGGTTCATAGGAAAAGGAGTGATTGCAGGCCTTGACAAGGAGCACTTCCCCTCTCCCCTGCCCCAATCGGTAGGTACACTTCCACGCCACGCAGCTGGCTCCTCCTTCACTCTTCAAGTAGAGTGAGTGCAGCGTGACTAAGCAAAAGCGGGAAAGACAGACTGGGGACATAGGGTGGGGTGGGGCAAGTGCGGCATGTGTTTGCAGAGGGATGCAGCCCTTCAAGGAGGCCAGAAGCTGGGGAGAACTTCTAGGGACTGAGACCCTGCTATGGTTCAACTGTGTCCCCCGAAGATAGATCATATGCTGGAAGCTGAAGCCCCAAAGCAACAGTGTTGAGAAGTGGGAACTCTAAGAGTGATCAGGCCATAGGGGCTCTGCCCCCATAAATGGATTAACATCATTATCAGGGGAGATGTTTGTTATAAAGGCGAGTTGGGCCCTCCCCAGAGGTGTTGGGCATAACTTTGCGCGCATGCGCCCTGACGCGCACGGGCACCATTTCATGCGCTC